TTAGAGTAGCCGCATCCAATAAAAACTATTATAATCGAAAGGGGTAGTTATTTGCAAAAAATTTGCATTTTTCGTCTTATCTATGGCTGTGTGTGTGTGTGCGTAACATGGGAAATGTGGAAACCATACATCAAAGTCAAAACAATTTTATTGTGGATATTTTTTGAATTCCTTGGCAAATACTTGAAGACAAGTTGTCCGTATTTGACAAATTGGGCGCCATTTTCAATAAATACATTTATTTGGTTCGTAAGTAACGAATTCTTCCATGTGAGTTCCCAGATGTCCCGACGCCGAGCCTAACCTAACAAAAGGTGGATAATCACATCTACTCATTTTGGGAAGACCTTATTATAGTCTCAACAAGGGAAACCAAATTTCCTCACATAATGTACAATCTCTCATCCAAGGAAAGCTAATATCAAATTTGGAATTGATGGGTATAATAGTTAAGCACCGCCTTAATGTCGATTTGTAGATCCTGAGAAATTTTTCTTCGATTCGTCAGACGCTAATAATTTCTCATTTTTTTGTTGGCAGCACACCCTTACTCACCCGAAAATAATGGAATAGGCAAAGTGAATTTATTTCAAATATTTTCTTTGTGATCCGCAATGAATGGGGCTCCAACATTTGCAATCTCCAGATTCGGAAAAAAACATAATTATATAAAATCACTTAATTATGAGTAGAAAAAGCAGATACGCGCTCCCAGTAATGTTTTCGATTATTACAAAATACCGTCTTCGTTCTGTTATTGCCGCTACAAGGAAACTACAATGAAAATGAAAGTTGGCCATAAAAGAAGAAGCCAACAACATGAAATGCATGACAGACAACACCTCATAAAAATCTTAAATTTTAATTAGTGTTTTTGTGTAGTTTTGTTTGACTTTGATACGACTCATCTGCTTTTGCACAATGGGCCGTAAAGTTTTCAGTTTTAAATTTTAGTACAAGGGCAAAAAGTGTTGGATTAAATTGTGGTTGGCCGTTTTGAACGTGGAAATAAGACCCAAATAAACAAAGACTAGACATCTCTATTTATTTGAATAAAGGTTTCCTTCACTTTAGATGCCGGTATTTAAGGCGTTAGTCTTGAACGGATTCACATTGGACTGTGCTGATTTTTTTTAAATTTTAAATATTTCTACTAATAGGATTGGTTGGGACAGAGGATCCTTGGACAGACGTGTACTCGAACTCAACTTTTGAGTTACTTAACCTTAACAAAACATCACAGCGAAGAAAGGGCTTTTTAACTGAGGTTCACCCGGTTACAGTTAGGGACGTATTTTGTTATTAAAAATTAGGCCGTTTTAGCTAGAGAATATCAATTCCTAAACAATTATTTTGCTAGAAGCTACCCAAGTAACAATTGAATGCTCAACAGAAACGAAGACTTTGACATTTTGTAACGTGGTTTTCTCGTCGGCTGTCAAGTTCTCCATAAGGATTCACTAAACATTATGAAACGAAAAGAGAAGAGTTTTCTCTTTCCTGGAGGTAAAAATAGGGTGTTTTATTGAATTCAATTACTAGATTATGTGAATATATAGGTATGATGGCAATTGACTTCAGAGATTCCCGGAATTCAATATATTTATTGTGTAGATGCGATTAATGATCGGGAATTCGATTTTTACGTCGGTCGGGAAAGTTTTCGACGGTCACGATGTTGATACTCGAGTTGTTGACGAAGTGTTATTGATCGGGGATAGCGTTCAGGTTTAATACGGTTTGAGGATAATAAGAAAGTGATGGGTCGTGATCGGATGTTGACGAGTTGTGGCTGGTCAGGATTTACTATGGTGTCGATTTGTAAGTAGTTGAGGTTTGTAGACGATTGGAACATAATCGGACGTCGAGTATTCGGGGATTGTGATGATGACGTTCAGGTTGTAGACGATTTGATGATAATCGGAAACTCAGATGGATGGACGCCGGTGTCCGGATGTTACGATGAAGCTGTTTGGGTTGTTGACGATTTGAAGATAATCGAGAACTCGGACGATTGAACCTCGGGGTTGTTCGGGGATTACGATAATGATCTTCGTGTTGTAGACGATTTTAATATGTTCGGGTTGTAAACGATATAAAGGTAATCAGGGACTCGCGAACTCTGGTGAGTGTTCGTCAAGGATAACGATTTTCGGTTTACAGATAATCTAATTTTGGCGAACGGCCGTCGAAGACCACGATGATGACGCTCAGTTGTAGATGATATTCCCCTTTGGTTTGTGGACGATACCGTTGTTCGGGCTATAATCGCGAACTCTGGGGAATGGAATTTTGCTTACATGTGTTCGGGTCGTGATGTCGGGTTATAATCGCAAACTCTGGAGAATGGCATTCGGCTCGCTTGGGTTCGGGTTGTAGATGATGGAGCGCTCGCATTAGTGCTCGGCGGTTAGTTAGCCGGGTCTATGCTATGGTCTTCGACTACCTCAACGTGACTACTCTGAATTTCGAGTAGGACAGTGAACCCGAATCTCCAGTGGGACAACGAGTCCGAAGCTCTTGTGTCAATGTATTACCTGACTTAAAAATCACTACGTATCCTTTAGGTAAGCCTCCTGCAATAACGATCCTCCTCTGTCAACCGAAATGAAAACTCTATATGTCACCGGCAAAGCCAAGTGAATGAGAATTATTTCTCATCTGTTATTAATTGAGTATGGTGGGCGTGATTGCCCTCAGGGCCTAAGGGGATTCCCCAATGGCCTCGGAAGATTCCCCCTATAACCCGAGGAAAAAAACAACGTGTCAACTTCTTCCAAAAGGGCCAACATGACAACTTTTGATTTTTACTAATATTTTCCAAAGAACCAGATGGGCTGAAAAAGAGGATTTGTAAAATTTACTTTTCAAACGATCAACAGGACCCTAAAGTTGGATTTTTTAAAAATATTTTTACAAAGGCCAATAGGATGTCATCTTGGAGCTTCTGTAAATATTTTATTTTTTTTAATATTTCTCCATAAAGACCAAATGTACCAAAAACGCAGTTTTTTTTCGCGTGATGGAGGGTCTCAAATCTTCAACACGGCCGAAATGTATTGATCTTTATGGCCTTACTTATGACAAAACACCAACCAAAAAATCTGAATAGAAGGATTATGACAGATAATATTTGAAATATGAAATTAAAGAGGTATTTCATTTGGTGGTTTAATGATTGTATTGCCTGGACAGTCATATGCTTAGGGTTTCTATCTTTGGGAAAACTAGTGGCACTTCCTAACTTGTTTTTTTTTTCAGAATTTTTGATTGATTTTTACTCCATGGAACAAGACAAAGAAAATGTTCGTCGTAGACCCCATAAAGTATATATATTTTTTAATCAGCATAACATTCTAAGTCGATTTAACGATGTCCGTATGTCTGAGTGTCGGTTGAAAACACATACAGCCCACATTATTTGACGCAGAACTTAAAAATCTGGCAGAAAAATTGTATTATGTCAAGAATGGTTGGTATTGAAAATGAGATACATCGGTCCACATTGTGGAATAGCCGATAGGTATTCGGTATTTTGCACATTCTTCCACAGATTTGTCTAAAAATTGGTATTTGTTTGTCATTTGTTTGTCCGGTGGCGAAACATTGTATGTATAGGTCCACATTTTTGCATAGGCCCCATATAACGGTAAGTCCCGATATTCGTATTTTAAAGATTTTTGCCATATTTCTCTACGAATTTGTCTACAAATTGGTATTTGTCTGGAACTAGGACCCATAGTTCCGGTGGCAGAAAATTTAAAATTTTGGGCCACTTTTTCGATACTCAGTATTTTGATAAACCTGGTCACATTCACCCACGAAATTGTTTCAAATTTGGTATTTAATTCTTAAAGTATAAAGTTGTCTATGGAGGTTCCCGTTTTGGTATGGCCCCCCTACCACGGCTTCACCCACTTTAGGGTCTTTTGAAAATTTTAACAGCACGTCTTACTGGTATTTGTAGTTTAAAGTGGAACACGTTTGAATTCAGATACTTTTATATAAAAATGTTTTCTTTACCCAAATGTGGAAAATTTAAAAAAAATCGGCGCGACGGTATATTTGAAAGAAAAAACACCAAACCCTTGTATGTTTGTCAAATCTTCGATTTTTATTTAATTAAAAAAAAACACACACAATGTTCCATATTTTAAATATTTTTCCAAATTTTAAATGGCATAAGGAAAACATCCACAAATGTGAAAGTTTACAACTATTGTTGCAGTGGAGTAAACCATTTTATGTAAAGCTCTTGAAGCTTTCCCCTGCACGTTGCCAAAATAAATAAGGTATCCCAACAAAAATAAGTTGTTACTTTTTGTTATTGTTATATAATGGTTTGTAATTTATTATTGCCAATTGTTGTTTACACTTCAATCAATAATGCTATTGTGCTTGTAAATGTGTGTGTGTGCGTGTGTTTTTGTGTGTATGTTTAATAATTGTTAAAAATTAAATAAAATAATAATAATTTATGTAACCATATAATTATCTAATATTACTTTCCTTACAACTAATTGTTCGTTTGTTTATGATCGATTGTAAGAGCGTGTGTGTGTGTGCGCATGAGAGAGGGTGAGTGAGTAAATGTGGGACAGTATTTGTTGGGCTCTCAAATGGAATGGAATGAATTTGTTAAATAATTTCAAACTAAATTAAGTCGATGCGTTCCCCCATTCCTTTTAAGGGGGGAAAGTTGGCTGATATGTCGGTCGGTCTCTGTCTGTTTATCTATTCATATTTACAATGTTTGTATGTTTTTTGTTTGTTTGAAGGGAAGTGGGTCCTGGGGCAGTTTTCTGTTCTTCTATAAATTTGTGAAAGGGTCGAATAGGTTTTGTATTTAAAATAAATGAAATCAGTCGTTGCAATGGTTATAAATCCGGAAGATCTGGGTACGTGGTGTTTTATAGAAATTCTCCGGGTTTGATGCAAAAAACTATTGAACTGATTGGTGAACATGCATCATATTGAACACCTTAGCTGGGTTGTTTTTCTGCCCAAGGGCATTCTAAGTGGAGATTCCAACCTCTACTCGGATTGCCTATAACCAAAGAACAAGTTGATTTCGTTTCAGGGCTTGTTGTATTCTCCGCATGTAATTGCCAATTTGTTTTAGCTTCGTTCTTTTTTTTCTGTGTAAATTTTCATAAGGAATATCGACTCATATCACTGGTTAATGGTAATCAAAAAAATAATAATAACGAAATTATTGCTCTAATTTGTTAATGTAACGAAAATATCAAATAAATTAGATGAATTAAATAGTGGATGGGGCGAAGTGGCTTCCGCTACTTCATCCCAACTAAAACATTAAATAAAAGTGCCCTAAATTCTAATCGCTTAGAATAGTTTGATTTACATAGGCAACTAACTAAATAACTAACACATACTACAATATATATAAATACAAATGATGATTATTTGCTACAAATGTCGTCGATCATCATCAACGGAATGTTCGTTCGGTGATCGTCGTTCTTGTTGGATTGCATTTAAAGTCTAAAATTGTAAAATCTGATTGATCCAGTCTCTGAACTCGGAAATTCTTGTGTAGACACCGGGCTGGTTGGCCTCGGCACAGCCAATGCCCCAGGAAATGACACCGCCCAATTGGAATCGTTTGTCGGATTCACGTTGCAGGACCATGGGACCACCAGAGTCGCCTTGAAATTTATGAAAAAAGAAATAATATTTAAAAATTCTGATATAATTTTAGGCCAATTTAGACTATACCTTCACATGAATCGTAGCCACCCTTTTTCCATCCCGCACAAATGAATATGTGCGGTATGTGCTCAATATATCCGGCCGATCGGTACATGGACTCACAAATGGTGTTGTTGATAACGGGCACCGCTACCTCTTGCAGCACACTGGGCAATGGACCATCTTCATAGAGGCGACCCCAGCCGGTCACAAAGGCCGTCTGGCCAATGAAATCTTCATCGCTGTCTGGCACACAGACTGGTATAATGTTGGGTTGGAACGTCACCGGTTCATAGAATCTGCAAAAGAGTTCATAAAATTACAACGTTTCATTCAAAATCAAATATAAATGGAATTTACCTCAATAACGCCAAATCGTATTCGAATGTCCGTGGATCGAATTGTGGATGGGAGGCAACAATTTGTACTCTCCTTTCTTGATATCCATAGGGTTCTTCCTCTTCCGCCAAATCGTATTCACCCAGACGCAAGAGCAAGTCCGATGGGGGAACACTGAAAATGGAAAATGTATTGAAAAATTATTTGGTGCAGAAGAAAGAGAGATTGAGATGTTAAAATAATGGATAATTCACAAAACATGTCACATTTTTTTAATATTTGTATTAAAATTGGTCTGGACAATTCAGCCAAAATTTTAATTAGAAATGGAAAGTGTTTCCTATTCAATTTTTTTGCAATCGTAAAGTTCTAACAACTTTGCATACTAACCCAATCATCTTCTATATATATCATTTTGAGGAAATCTATTTCAAGATCTGGGCGTCTGACTCTCAATGGGAGAGCCCGATTTGCTCAATACTTGTAACAACGACATATTTTGTTAAACTTAGATTTACTTCAAACTTCTCACATTCCGGTAGATCTACTAAAATAAGGTTTAGCGGTGAGATGGGATATATCGTTCTCTTATTTTCGACAACTCCCACAAAAACGTTCAACTTTGAAGAATTAAAACTTTGAATGATAAACTAACGCATGGAAAGTGTTCGGGTTCAAGGCTGGTAAATCGGTATTTCTGTGTCAAACTTAGGCCAAGAGGGAAAATGGGTAACATACAATTTTAAAAAATGATTAATGCAATATAATGTTCATGTTAGTAGTATTTCTACCAAATCAAGTTTGAAAAGATAGACTACATCGTTTGACTTTCTCTGGGAGTTCCCTAAAAGGGTCCTTTTTCGGAAAAACTTGGGTGGATTTGGTATATACGAGGGAACATATATCCTAAGTATGTTAGCCTGATTTGGTGAAAACCCTCTCAAATATATTTATAGCTCCCATATATTTGTCTCATCTCCCATAGCCGTAATATTCATTGTATAAAAATTATGTTCGGTACGGCTTAGATACATATCGGTTCATATGTGGATATACAGGGTGAGATGAAAAAACTGCAACCAACTTCATTTTTCTTCAATGCTGTCATTTTTAAGCCATTGGTCCGGTGACAGCCCATTATATTGTTTACAAGCGTACAAAAGCATTTTGGTGAGAATTTTCCAAAAAAAATTTATTCGTGATGCAATTCAAGCGTGATGTGTGATTTCTTTATATTTGCCTGGAAAACCTAAAGTGGCTATCTCGTACCATCGTTCATTACCGTGATACTGGTAGCGTAGCCCCACGTCATGGAAGTGGATGGAAGAAAACAGCACCACCAGCAGAAATGGTTCGAAAAGTAAAGAAGCTACTTGATCGAAACCCGCGTCGCAGTGGTCGAAAAATGGCTCGTGAGCTGAACATATCGCTATATTCCATTCGGCAAATACTGAAAAATGAGCTCGGAGTAAAGCCATTTAAATTCCAAAAAGTGCAAGAATTTACACCACAAAAGAAAGAAAAGAAACTCGAAAGAGCTAAAGAGTTGCTTCGCTTGGCCGAAAGTGGTGAACTGCCGAATTTGGGTTTCTCCGATGAGAAAACATTGGTTGTCCAGCAGTTTGTAGACAAACAAAATGATCGTGTTTGCTTGCCGAGAGGTCAGCTGAAAATGTGCACCTTCGGTTGGCCACCAGAACTCAAGCGCCGGCTATGGTGTGGGCCGCCATAACAGCCGGTCGTCGCTCTCCGCTCGTATTAATCGACCGTGGCATCAGAATAAATGCTGAATATTATCGTGAAAATATTCTGGAGGGTATATGAAAGCCTTGGGCACGAAAACATTGTGGCCGCAGCACCAGCGCACTTAGCAGGCGCCATCCAAGAATGGTTACAAAATGAAGTTCCTCGCTTCATTTCCAGCTCACAATGGCTACCAAAATCTCCGGATACCAATCCGTTGGACTATTGTGTCTGGCGTTTTTTGGAAAGAAAGGTTGGCACTAAAAAATACCAAAGTGTCGATCACCTCAAGCAAGCGCTTTGCCGGGAATGGGCCAAAATACCACAGAGCAACATTCGGGCAGCGTGTGACGGTTTTATTGGCCGTTTGACGGCCATAATTCGTGCCAAAGGTGACCAATTCGAACAAACCTAAGCTTATTCTAAAATTTGATGCTGTTTCCGGCATTTTTTGCTTTCATTCAATAAAATTAAAAAAAGAAGTAAAAGTTATGGCGTTTGACTTTGTTGCAGTTTTTTTATACCCTCCACCATACTATGGAGGGTATATTAACTTTGTTATTCCGTTTGTAACTCCTCGAAATACTCATGTCAGACACAACAAAGTATATATATTCTTGATCAGCGTAAAATTCTAAGTCGATTTAGCGATGTGCGTCTGTCTGTCTGTTGTAATCACGCTATCTTTCGAACGAATTGAGATACAAGGCTAAATTTTTGCACACACGTTTATTTTTACAGTAGGCAGGGTAAGTTTGTAAATGGGCAATGTAGGTCCACGTTTTCATATAGCCCCCATATAACGGTACCTCCCGATATTCGGTATTTTGATGATTTTAGCGACATTTTTCACCGGAATTTTTTCAAATTTGGTATTTGAGGTTCGAAATAGATACTACAGCCTAAGACAGAAAATTGTCTGTGCAGGTCCACGTCTTCGTATAGCCCCCATATAACTGTACCTCCCGATATTTGGTATTTTGATGATTTTAGCGTCTTTATTCACCAAAATTTGTTCAAATTACGCATTTAGGGTTCGTAATGGAAACTCCAGTCTGTGACAGAAAATTGTCTATGCAGGTCCAGGTCTTCGTATAGGCCCCATATACCAGTACCTCCCTATATTCGGTATTTTGACGAGTTTAGGTACAATACTCACCGAAGTTGTTTGAAATGTCGTATTTGAAGTTCGTAATGGATGCTACAGAATATGACAAAAAATTGTCTACGCAGGTTCAGGTCTTCGCACAGCTCCGATATAACGGTACCTCCCTATATTCTATACTTTGATGATTTTAGCTACATTATTCGCGTTTATTTCAAGTTCCGAATTTGAATTTGGTAATGACTCATGACATATAATGCCTGTGTGGGTCCACGTCGTATAGGCACCAATATAACGGCAATATTCGTTCCAAATGGTGGAGGGTATTCAAAGTTCGGCCCGGCCGAACTTACTGCTTTTTAACTTGTTTTAACTCATCCTGTACCTATCTGGTGCACCTCGTAATTCACACACAACTAATATTTATATCTGAACATAACATGTTATCGTTTCAAAGTTAAAATAATCTATTTTTCTTGATTTTTTCAGAGATTTTCCAGTTAAAAAATGAGGTTTGCCAGTCCAACTCCACAGGATAATCTGTGTTCAATGTAAAACTGACTTAAACATAATCTGCACTACAAAACTGCAATACACTACTACTATTACATATTTTGTAAAGCCGTTTAGAAGCGAAGCCTTCTAAATACGCTTTATCGGAAGAAATAACAGGGGCCTTAAATGAAACTGTTAAAGCTTGATATTCCCTATGGGATTTCTCTCAAAATGTCTGTTCAAAATGACAACCATGAGATCTGGATACAATTTTGGTATGTATAATTACATGTTTTTTCTAATCGAAACTATGCATCCATATAATTTCCGTTTACGGTAAAAAAATTTGACATTTAAGCAGAGTGTTTCTTTTTCCTTTCAAAACTAAACATCAAAATAACTCCATTACTTACTTATCCACACAATGTGCCGCTGTTATGGCCCAATTTTCATTCAGCAACGCAGCTCCGCACTTATGCAAGTAGGTTGAGGTACGCCACTGTCTCAGCGATATTTGCCATGGCCAACGACCAAAGGCCGCATTGGAACCACCCACAATGCGTGGTTCGGGGAACATTCTTCGGCCGCAAACTGAAATTGGGGAAAGAGGAAAATCGATTATTCTCTAGTTTAACTGCCACTGGGCGATCATTACCTTGTCTATAGTCGACACCCTCCAGACTGTTCGTAATGGAGACATTCACTGCCAGACTTTCAGGACTTTCGGTGGTGAATAGATCGACGATTGGTATGTCTGTGGCCGGTGGCTGGGGTGGTGTAATGGACGAGGCAGCAAATGGAGCCTCGGTAATTGGACTTGGTGGGATTGTTGGCGAGCTGGGTTTGGAAGTTGTAGTCGTGGAGGTGATTGGTGTGGATGGTGTTGCAGTAGAGGGTGTGGTGGGTTTCTCTGTGGTGCTAGTTGTCGTTGTTGGGGTGGTATAATGAGTGGGAGGTTTATGTGTAGTTGTCGTCGTTGATTTTGTTGTTGTTGTGGTGGTGGTGGAAGTGGTTGTGGGCTTGGCTGTCGTCGTTGTTGTTGTACTGGTACTAGTTGTTGTGACAGGCTTGCGGGTCGTTGATGTTGTCGTCGTAGTCGATGTGCTGGATGATAATTGGAAAATAATCGGTTTTTGTGGTGGCGATACAAATACTGTATTGTTATTCACCACAGCACTAATACTGGTGATGACAGAGACACCGACTTCCTCGTATTTGATTGAGTCGAGTGATTCTGCAAGAAGAAAATTCAAAGGTTTTATTGAGGTCTATATGAATTGAAAATAGTTTATTAAATTTATTTTTCACTGGTGGTGACTTCATGATCCCACTAAACAATCACAAACATGCAACACCACATAATATTGGAAACAATCCACAATAAGGGTTAACACCAACAGACGTAACAATAATCTCAGCTCCTTGTCGTACTTGGGCAGGGTAAACAAATGAGGTTAATTGGAATACTACCGTTTTTATAGGTCAAAATTTATACTTGTTTCGAATATCGGGCTAGAATCGGTATATCGGCTATACTTGTAATCAATATCGGGCTAGAATCGGACAAGGGCGATAATAGTGACGAATTTGATCACAAGCATACTTTGGGCCTGATTTTGAAAAAAGCTCCCTATGGTCAAATATCAACATAGATTGGAATTCGGATTTTTGTGTAGAAAAATTAAAATTTGTATTATCTTGCGGATATTTTATTTTGGAAGCCATACAGGACACACTTGTTCGAAAAAAATTATCTTAAAGGGGTCAAATACTGTACGAATTTAATGAATTTTCGAGTTCTACTGAAGATTACAATCTTCCATGATGTTGCAGCGATAGTTTATCGAACATGTAAGTTTAAACGAAACATAAAAAATGTGTTCTGCCTTAGAATTATGTCCACGTGTAGTATCGTGTCTGTTGGTTTAACTTTATTCCCCATCTTATATTCTTCTGTGGACTTTGAGTTTTATCCCCAAATCGACCACCGCCCTCTTTCAACTTACCTTCCGTTTTGTTATTGGCATTGGGGCCAGCTGTTGTGACAGGCATCCAGTCGGTGTCTGAAGCTTTGTTAGGATCTGCAGGTTCTGCATCAATATTTGTCCAAGTTACCAAACCTGGTTTTTGGGTGGTCGAAACGACCTCAGGAGCATCGGTGGTGCTTTGATGCACCGGTGGTGGTATGGTTGTGGTGGTTGTTGTCGTTGTTTTCTTAGTGGTGGATTGTGGTTTCTTTGTGGTGGAAGTCGTCGTAGTAGTTGTGGTATATGCAGAACTGGATGAGGAGGTCGACGACGTTGCTGGCACTTTTTTCGTTGCATCGGTTGTGGTGCTGGTAGTGACGATGAGTTCTTCTGGCGCATTGGTGGTGGTGGTGGGTTTGGGTCTGGGCTTAAATGAAGTCGTTGTCGGTCTCGGCACCTTGGTAACTGTCGCGGTGGCGGTAACTGTGGGTTTCGGTTTGGGTCGGTATCCACCGGGATATTTGGTAATGGTTGCATTTGCTGTTGTTGTGCTGACATGTGTCGTCGTGCTAGAGCTGCTGCTGGAAGTTGTGGTGGCATTCTGCTGCTTCATTTGATCGGCCATTGTTGTAGGCAATGGCTTGTTTGTTGGTTTTGCCGTCGTCCGTTTATGGCTTTGAGGCTTCTTTGTCGTGCTTGGTTTCCGACTGGTTTGTGGCTTGGGTTTAGTTATGGGCCGTTGAGCCGTGGTCGAAGTTGAATTTTTGACATTTGTTGGACCGACAGTGAGTTGTGGTGACTTTGTCGTTTTGGACGCTACATTCGGTCGCTGAGTGGTAACGGATTCCATTAGTTTTGTCGGTTCGGTGGGTGTTGCCACAGTGGTTTCCACAGTTTGGAAAGTGAATAGTTTTGTGGGTGGTGTGTTAAGCTCCGAGGTCAGTTCATCTTGTGCCACTTTGCTGCTGGCTGTTGTGGTGAGTATGGGTCGTGGTGTTGTAGTGGTTGTTGTAGTTGTGGTGATTTTCTTTTTCTTTGTTGTTGTGTTATACAAAGGCTTTCCCCCACCGGTTGTACCCTTCGCCGGCTTGGCTGTGGTCCTAATCACAAAGTGCGATTGCTTGTGTGTGGTGGATTGTGGCGGTTTGGCCGTGCTCGTTGTGCTGGGCTTCGTAGAACTTATTGCCGTTGTATTTGTTTGTGTTGTGACCGGTTGGCGGGTGTTTTGGTATTGAGTCGTTGAGCCTTCTGAGAGCATAGTCTGAGTTACAATATTCGAGATTTGAGTCAAATCTGCTTGCGGCTGTTGCAAGGTTGTATTGCTGTCAATGTGTGGCCCCAGTGTGGTCAGTTTGAACAGGGCACTCGTCGGCATTGTGGTGGACTCTGAGGTATAATGATGAGATATGGTATTTTGATCTATGCTATTGTCGCCTATCTCTGGGGCAAACAATGAACCTTCGTCCTAGAAGAGAAAGCGAAAGGATTTAATGACCAAATGCTCATTTGTAAAAAATGATGACGACTCACCTTAATGTCACAGCATGATCCGAAGTAGAAACGATCAATGCAGGTGCCCAAATGGGTTCCATTCTGTTTGATGCAATCGATGGCGAACATACAGACGCCAGAACGGCCGGACTTTCTCACTATGCAGGGTAGATGTCTGATGTTTCTGCCGGATTGAACTGAAAAGACAAATAAAGAGATTTTCAACATTAGACACGCCAGTGAAGACCAGTAGCATGGCCGGTTCGTGACATGCAAGTTTTCATTTTGATTTCCATGAGAAGTCATTTTGAAAAGTTTAGAAAGTTTTCTTTGTTGCTTTACATAACATTTCATTTCCTTTCCAAAATTCTGCCTCAACTGGGAGTGGAAGAGGGGAGAATACAGTATTTTTTCTTTTGCGAATTTCATGGCTTGTTATTTTTGGTGTGAGTGTGTGTTTGTGCGTGCGTGCGTGTTTTCAACCCAAAGATCTCCCATTTTTTTCAGTGGTATTTGGGTTGTATTTGTGGTGTTTTTTTTTGTATCTTAATATCTTTTTCTTTTACTTCTTCTTCTTCTTCTTGTCGTCCATCTTCTCCCCTAACAAGCTGCTGGTGATGGCAGTAATTTCATATAATTAACGTAATAAATTCTAAATGACTTCCTCCTCTAGCATAGATTGGATTGTGGAAAGCGGTGGTAGTCGATTGTTGGCCAGTATTCGCCGACTAACCAACTGGCTGTTGTGATTTTCTTCGCATTGTCGGTGGTAGAGTGGCGGGTCTTCAAAATGCGGTCACTCAACGGCAAAAGCCTGACTACCGACCATTATTGTCTTCTGCGTCTCCTTCGTTGCGTGTAAAAGTCCGCACTGCCCAGCTTCACAAATCATTTGCTTGTCACTGTGTTGGTCTTATCTACCGGCCGTTGTTATGCTGTGTAAAAGTTTGCGTCGAACCAACGAGCGAACGCTAATGACTTGACCATCCCATTTGGAGTATCTTTGGTTTGGCTTGAAAACAGTTTACACGATTTACGATTTGTATTCAACTTTTAAATCCCCCTCTCATATAATTTTTTTTTGTTGGCTTGACGTATATCATATTTCTTGCAGTAACTGATCCTGCTTTGAGTCTGCTTAAAAGGGTCACTGAAATTGTAATCGAAACTTGAGAATAACCGTTTTTCTTCGGTGAATAAAACGAGGAAAGATGGAGAGTGGGAAACGCATAAACTGTGGAATTATCTGCGTTGCTTTGGTGAATTATATCGGTAATGACTTGTAATAATAATCGGATTTCCAAAAAGGCAACAAATTAAAATGAACTTAAGAACACCATTATTCAGGGGTAATCAATTAGCTGGCTGCTTAACCCTCTTAAATTATTCTTTTGTCCGACAATAAGCGAGGAAGCTTATAATTTCGATTTGTTGGGTGCGTTACGCCACATTCTAGATACTTTAAATTATGTATGTTTTTGGACAGATCATCTATAAAAATTGTAGAGGATAGACTTCGTATTGCCACCACGGGAATCTTCTCCAAAAATAGTAAGAGTTTAGAGCACCTTCGACAGATTTGAAAACTTTTGTAAAAATGTATCCACATTTTGGTGAACCCCACGGATAACTCCAATATACCGTTTACATGCAAAAAGAAAAAAAAAACCTAAAAGTTGGGCGAGGCCGACTTTATGATACCCTACACCTTTTTGCATATTGAGTAGAGCTTCATATAAAAAAAATAAAATAAAAATATAACAAATCGGATGAACAATATGAGAGCAATAGCTATATCTGAACCGATTTTCACTAAATTTGACTTACTTACTTGCCTCTGGGCTTAATTTGGTCGTAAGTGCCAAATTCCATCCCACTTGGTCTAATATTACACGTTTGGTTAAGAATAAAAAGCAAATCGGAAGAAGATATATATGGGAGATATATCCAAATCTTAACCGATCTCGAAAAAACTTGGGAAAAGTATTGCTGTGCTATTTGATAGATTTCCCCAAATATCTTTGTTACAGATCCGATTTGTTAGATTTGTCCTCCGCAGCCATATTATGGACGGCTGCGGAGGACAAATTTAACAAATCGGATGAACAATGCAGGGTGAGATAAAAAACTGCAACAACGCCATAATTTTTACATTTTTTTTTAAATTTTATTAACTTGCTTGAGGTGATCGACACTTTGGTATTTTTTAGTGCCAACCTTGCTTTCTAAAATACTCCAGACACAACAGTCTAACGGATTGGTATCCGGAGATTTTAGTGGCCATTGCGCGCTGGAAATGAATCGAGGAATCTCATTTTGTAACCATTCTTGGCTGCTGAGTCTTGTTGGAAGGTCTGCAGCCAAAATGTTTTCGTGCCCAAGGCTTTAATACACCCTCCAAAATATTTTCGCGATAATATTCAGAATTAATTCTTATGTCACGGTCGATTAATACGAGCGGTGAGCGACCTTTGGCAGTTATGGCGGCCCACACCATTACCGGCCGGCCGGCGCTTGAGTTCTGGTTGCCAACCGAAGGTGCACATTTTCAGCTCTTTGGCAAGTAAACACGACTATTTTGTTTGCTTACAAACTACTGAGTGGCTTAGAAATGACAGCAGTCTAAAGTTTGTTGCATTTTTGTCATCTTACCCTGTATGGGAGCTATATCTAAATTTTGACCGATTATCTCCAATTACAATAGGATTTGTCCAAGGGTCAAACAAATGACTTGTGCAAAATTCTGGATCGGACAATAAATGCGACCTGTACTTTATTTACAAAAATACATGGACGGACGGACAGACGAATGGACGCACGGACAGGAATAAATCGTCTCAGAATGTGATTCTATGCCGATCATCAAAAGGAACTATGGGTCTATCTCCTTTCCTTTTGCCTGTTACAAACAAATGCACAAATACATGATATCCAGACCACTATTTTTGAGATGAAGAATTGCAAAGACTTTTCTTGTTCTGTTTAGATATTTGATCCTGAACTAATATCGATCTGAGAACAAACACCAGACGAAGTTTGGACTAGATTCTTAGGATTCTTATGGAGTTTTTATACCCTCCACCTTGGTAAGGAGGGTATATTAACTTTGTCATTCCGTTTGTAACATCCTTAAATATTCGTCGTAGACCCCATAAAGTATATATATTCATAATCAGCATAAAATTCTAAGTCGATTTAACGATGTCCGTCTGTCTGTCTGTCCGTCTGTCTGTCTGTTGAAATCACTATACAGCCCACAGTATTTGACGTAGAGCGCCAAAATTTTGCAGAGCAATTCGCATTGTGTCTAGGATGGTTGGTATTGAAAATGAGATATATCGGTCCACGTTCTGGTATAGTCCCCATATAACGGTACCTCCCGATATTCGGTATTTTGATGATTTATGCCACATTTTTTCACGGATTTGTTTGAAAATTGGTATTTGTAGGTCATAGCGGGTCCCTGTGCGTGTGGCAAAACACTGCATGTATAGGTCCACGTTTTGGTATAGCCCCCATATAACGGTACCTCCCGATATTCGGTAATTTGATGATTATTGCTACATTTTTTCACGGATTTGTCTAAAAATTGGTATTTGTAGGTCATAATGGTTTCCACCTCCGGTGGCGAAACATTGCATGTATGGGTCCACGTTTTGGCATAGCCCCCATATAACGGTACTTCCTGATATTCGGTAATTTGATGATTTTTGCCACACTCTTTCATGGATTTGTCTAAAAATTGGTATTTGTTGGTCATAATGGGTTCCAGCTCCGGTGGCGAAACATTGCATGCATGGGTCCATGATTTGATATAGCCCCCATATAACGGTACCTCCCGATATTCGGTATTTTGATGGTTTTTGCCACATTTTTCCACTGATTTGTCTAAAAATTTGTATTTGTGGATTATAATGGGTCCTAGTTCGTGTTGCGAAACATTGTAATTATAGGTCCACGTTTTGGTGTAGCCCCCATATAACGATACCTCCCGATATTCGGAATTTTAATGGTTTTTGCCACATTTCTTCCAATGTTTCTTTTACCCTAAGGTGGAGGGTATTAAAAGTTTGGCCCGGCCGAACTTAATGTTTTTTTACTTGTTTTTTCTATAACTTTTTGTGTTTTGTTCTTCCGAAATAAAATATCTCGCTCAAATATAGTTTTACTTCAACCGAGTTAGAATGAATTTATTACTTATCGGTCTGTAGAAACCCATCAAGAAATCGTCAACATAAAGCCAAAATTTAAAGTTGCCGACCGGGTTAATCGATTTATTAACATGCCACCGCTACAATACTGCACCTATGAAAACTATTGATATCATAGCAACTTACAACTATTCCCATGAGGGAACAAAGAATCTGTTAATTAGACTAAAAGTTTTGGCCTCAAAATCTATTCTGGCAGTTATTTAATTTTATCTTCTCTGGTACCCAATAAAATTTTCCATTTCCAAAATAAAATGGAAAATATTGAAACAAAAATCTAAATTTTCACATAACCGATAGAGAAGAGCTGATCACACGCTATCCGTCAATCTGCATTTAATTGTGGCCAATTAATACTAACTGACAAATAGCACAGTAGTCAATCATCCTCAATGGTAACTTCTTTTACGGCGAATACAAACACACCAAAGAAACCTTCACAAAAAGAAAGACATTCAAAATTAAACCAAAAAAATAAAAAAAAAAAACAAAAAAAAAAATCAACGGCAATTAGCATCCAAATGAAAACAGAAGAAAAAAATTGAATAAGTGAAAGGGAAAGAGAATGAAGTTCGCCGCACTTCAGCGTCTGTGTTTTCGGTCTGAACAATGAAATCTGAAGAAGAAAAAAACAAAAGTATCCAATAAAACCTTCATCTGGTAGAGAAATACAAAATGCCAAAACGGCTGACACCTAGGTATGCGAAAAGGAAGGTAGCTGCCCCAACCGAGACGAGGGGGCGGTCGTCAACAGAAACCGCAAACGTTCCGATATTCATTTCAGATGCATTCGTAGCCCGAGGCTTTGTTGTCTTTTCTTTAGCCATCATAGAAAACGTGAAAACTTACATGACGACACACATAGATTTGTGACTTTACTGCCTCCACCCGCCTAACGTCCGAACAACCCCCAATCGACCAATAAACAAAACATTGGCGACGGGTGGTGGTAGTGGAATTATAAGGAAGCACAGAGAGAGATATTC